GGCCCCGGTTCCAGACCCCGCCGGGCCCAGGGAGGGGAGGGGAAGCCGGGCGGGAGCCGCCGCCACTCCGGAGGAGGCCGAGCCGCTGTCTCGACGCGAGGCTCCCGAGCGAGCGGCCGAGAAACAACCGGGGAGGAGTGGGGGCGGGGAGGGGGGGGAAGCCGGTGTCTGGGGAATTAATTGGACGCGACCCAAAGACCCTCGGCGACCCCGTGTTAGGTTAGTGCGGGGGGGGGGCGGCTGTGCTTTGGGGATCCTCTCTCCCTGGGGCCATTTTAATGCTCCTTTTCAGAAAGGACGAAGGTTGAAAAGCACTTATCTCGGTTCCTCCCGAACGGGTAAAATGGCGAAGGGGGAAGCCAAAGCCCCCGATCGTATCCTCCACTAGCAAAAGCACCAAAGCAAACAAAACAAAAAACAAAACAAGAAATCCCCTCCAGCCCCAGCCCCCCTTAACGCCCCTCAAAAGAAAGCAAGGCCTGCCGCCGAGGTCCGATGCCCGCTCGCCCGGAGTCCGCCGCCTCCGGCCCACGGGTCCCCTTTGGCTTCCTGGCGATCACGTAGGTTTGCAAAAAAGCAGTCACAACCATCACCTTTACAGTGCCCCACCCGCCTTTATTTTTCTTTTAATTCTTCTGATGCCAATAAAACACGATTACTTATTTTTATTTATTTTATTAGTTTTTTTCCCCTTTTTGCCCGGTCCCCCATGCGTCAGACCGAGCCCCGCGGCCACCCGACCCCGTACCGTGGGCGACTCGGAGTCGATCCATCATGGCTGCGGCCGCCGGCCCTGCTTTTCCGTCCCTGAGCCTTGTGGTCCTCCTCCCTTTGGCTGCCCTGTTTATATAGAGCCATTGCCGCTCTCTAATATAGACTCTGCCAGGATGGGAAGGTGCTTTTCAGGCCTACGTCACCGCCTCTCCATTTAAACACCAGATCCGGCTTTAAATAGTGAGAGCTGCTGCGAGCGGGGCTGGGAGGTGCGTGCTCCCGAGGCGAGCGGCGGGCGGGCGGGCGCCGGCGGAGCGCGGGATGCGGCGCCCCTTGATCCTAGGCTGTCATTCTCGCACCCGACCGGGGGCTATTGCTTTCAGAGACCCCTAGGTTTTCTGAAGTCGTTTTTTTTTTTTTCCATCCTGCCTTGCTAAGGGGAAAACAATGCCCAAATTGCCATCGTTGCTTTTTCATTTTACTTTTTAGGTTTTAAAGGCTTTTTTTTTAAAAAGTAATTTTTAGATGAGACGGTCTGATTATTTTCTCTGGTTTGGAAGGTGTCCTCCAGTATTGATGGGATTAAAAAATGCTTTGTATGTTAATGTTAGCTACAGAGGACTTGGGGCTTAGCCCATCAAGTATTCAATATATCTGTGTGTGTGTGTGTGTGTGTGTGTGTGTGTGTGTGTGTATTTAGTATATATGTGTATTTGTTTCATTGTGTTTTCAAATAATAGATAACCTAGACACAAAGCTTTTCAGAGAAATAGAAATTAAACCGAGGCTTTCATATAGGATCTTAAAGCGTTACAGTACCGGGAATTGAGTAATGAGAATGAAGGAGATTTGGCAGCAAACTGTATTTTGAAAAACCGAAAATTTAAGTAGATAGTGTTTTTTATTGCGGTACCCAGTGTAAAAATCAATCTTTAACTTTCCGTAATTGCACCAGAGAATGACCAGTTTCCTAAAGGAGCCCTTGAGCTAATGACTTGATAATGTCACCCATGCTCCCTTCCAATTTTAAAGTTTGGAATACTTGCTTTCTAAAACTCAGGACAAAGGCAAATTATTGTGTATACAATAAAAGGCAAAAACACTGGTTTAAGTGAAGTTAGGAATTTAATATTATAAAATGCTATTTCAAATAGTGCTGGTGCCCCCACATACTTGTAAGAACAGAATTTTAAGGCCTTTGCACATAGTGAAAAATTGTGTCGGCGACTACATATTTTAGGATTGGAGGGCTGTGATGGGGCGTAAGTTAGGGCCTGAGTACTGTCCCTGAGCTTTTTCACTCAAAGGCTAATATTCTACCATTTTGAGCCACAGAGTCACTTCTGGTTTCTGGTGGTTAATTTGTATTCTTATGGATTTTCTTGCCCCTTGTACTCTTGATGCAGCTGGCTTCAAACCATCCTCGGATCTCAGCTTCCTGAGTAGCTAGGATTACAAGCTTGAGCTGCTGGCACTGGCCCATGCATTTATTTTGTGAAATGTACTTGTATTGCTTCTTCCTTCAGCCTCATTGCTTCTGAATTAGTTAAGTCCTTGAGTTCATTAAGAAGCATCATAAAACATAGGGATCAGCAACTCAAGAGGCTGAGATCTGAGGATTGCGGTTTGAATGAACCCAGCCAAGACAGGAAAATATGTTGAGTGGGCCAGCCAGTAAGGGTGAGAATCTAGACATTTGATGTGTTCAGTTGTAATTAAAAAAAAGGAATAGTTTTTACTGGCAAACTGTTTTGTGTTAGGATCATAGTTCCTCAGAGGTTCCATTATGGTAACAGTATTGTGATACATACTAATGGAGCATTTATTTATTTATTTATTTATGGTCTGATCGTGGGGCCTGAACTCTGGGCCTGGGCCCTCAGCTCTCCAGCTCAAGGTTAGCACTCTACCACTTGAGCCACAGTGCCACTTCTGGCTTTTTTTTTTTTTTTCTGCTTATGTGGTGCTGAGGAATCGAACCCAGGGCCTCATGCATACATGGCAAGCACTCTACCACTGAGCCACCTTCCCAGCCCTGGAGCATTTATTTTTCTTTGAGATTTGTTAATGAGAATAAACCCTTCATTTTATTGGCAAGCCAGTAATTTACATTAAGCCAGCCAGGTATAAAACAGGAATAATGACAAAGCATTTAGAAAAAAGGTTTAACATTAACTCTGCAATAATGGATAAAATGTATAAGGGGGCAGCCTTAGTTTTCATTTGACATGCAAACTTTTATCTAACATTAAAAATAGGATGTGGGTTAGGCTAATTGTTTCAACTTTTTTACTTTTCAAAAATATCCATTTAAAGTGCTTTCACATGTGTTACTAAATTTATTCTGATAACCAACTATCTAGAAGACATCTCCTCCAACCCTTCACTGTGCTTTCATTCCATGCATTACACACAATAACTATAGGAACAAGGGACATACATACATGAGCGTTTATAATTCTGTTCTGAAGCATCAGCTGGACAGGGATAGGAGGAGGAGCATATCATTAGAAAGGAGCCAGTGAGTACTTTTTTCCTCAGACTATGAAAGACTTTTTCAGTGGAACAGCTTGAAGGTACAGACTAGATTAAAAAACCCTCCCCCCCAATTAGAAATGACATGATTTTTTTAAACTTACACTCATTGTATTGCTGGTTATTACCAGGCTGATGAATATAAGAACTAAGGTTTTCCAAAATCAAAGATAGGGCTGGGAAGGTGGCTCAGTGGTAGAATGCTTGCCTTGCATGCTTGAGGCCCTGGGTTCGATTCCTCAGCATAAGCAAAAAAAAAAAAAAGAAAGAAAAGAAAAAAGTGGAAGTTGCGCTGTGTCTCAAGTGGTAGAGTGCTAGCCTTGAGCTGAAGAGCTCAGGGAGCAGTGCCCAGGCTCAGAATAATGGGAAATGTAGGCAACCATAAAACATTATGTTAGGGATTTTTACTGCAACATAGGAAATTAGAAATAGAAACTGTATGACACTTGTATGCACAAGGAATTTTTACTTATGGATTCTATTGCAGTCTTAATGTACATAAGATATTAAATCATGCAGTTATCAAATCAAGGGCAAATGATATTTATTAGGATGGATATATCTTTAAAGCCTTACAAGTATTAGTTGGCAAAATAATTGGTGTTTTTAATTTGTTTGCATTTCTGAAAGCTTGTTAAACATTTTAACTTTGGAAGCAATATGAAAAGTTTTATTTTTCCTTTAAAGCCTAAATTATACAGATCTGTGATTGAAGATGTTATTAATGATGTGAGAGACATCTTTTTGGATGATGGAGTGGATGAGCAAGTCCTCATGGAACTAAAAACTGTGAGTTTTTTTTTCTCTCTCCTTTAATTCGTATTTTTTCTCTCTTCCCCCCCCCCCCAAGATTCTCTTTAGCCAGTAATGACTAATTTTCTCAGAGGATAAAGATTTGACTTTATTTAAGGAGGAAGTATAGTTTAGTAAAGGTTATTGTTTTAAATCTCAACTGTCACCCATCGTCCTCTGGCCTTAGGCAAGCTACTTATGTATGTACCAGCTTCCTTAGAACATTTAAGATAGGAATTCTTCTATAGTTGTTTTAAGGATTAAATATAGCAGCTATAAAAAATACTTATCCCTTAAGCTGGGCGCTGGTGGCTCACGCCTGTAATCCTAGGTACTCCGGAGGCTGAGATCTGAGGATCGCGGTTCAAAGCCAACCCGGGCAGGAGAGACCTTGAGACTCCTATCTCCAATAAAACCACCAGAAAACCAGAAGTGGTGCTGTAGCTCAAGTGGTAGAGCACTCACCTTGAGCTGAAGAGCTGAGGGACAGTGCCCAGGCCCAGAGTTCAAACCCCACGACCGACCAAAAAAAAAAAAAAAAACTTACCGCTTAGAAGTAGCATTAGCTACTCTAGTGAATAGACAACATTCTATTGGATAGACAACATTTTGTGGTCCACTTACTTGACATGCCTATTTAAGATTTTGGTTCTTTTTATTTTGTCTTAATATTCTAAATTAAGTTGTAGGGGTTGATAAAAGGATTTTAGGTTCTTGAAGTACATTATTTTAAAAATTCTATTATTTTAGTGGTACTGGGTTTTAAACTCAAGGCGTCCTCTTTCTAGGCAAGTGCTGTACCACGTTAACTATACTCCTAGCCTGTTTTTATTTTTAATTTTCATATTAGGTCTCATGTTTTTGCCTGGGCTAACCTCACATTGTCAATATTCCTACCTATGCCTTTTGTGTAACTGGAATTACAGGATCACACCACCATACCTAGCTTATTTGTTTAGATAGGTCTTGGTAACTTTGCCCAGGCTGGCCTCAAACTGATCCTGAATTCTACTTCCAGAGTAACTATGATTTTAGGGGTAAGTCACTGTGCCTAGCTAAGTCATATCCTTTATATATGCTCTATATTAAATTTATAATATATTCTATGTCTGAGACTAGTGTTTTATCTCTTGGATTTAAGCAGAAATGAAAGAGGAGGATCCCACACATCCGTCTCAGGGGACCACACAGAGGCAGGCAGGCACAGGAGAAAGATTATTATAAGATTTATTAGAGGAGCCGTATTTCCCCCCAGAGGGAACACATGGCCTCCATCCTTATCCAAGTAGCAGGAGGGTCTGAGAGATAGGAAGTAGGTAGATGGGAGTTCAGGTGGGTCTGGGCAGAGAGAGGGAGGGGTCAGCTGTATGGCTGGAACTCCAGGAATAGAAGCCCCTCCCCCCCAAATCTGGGTGGAGCTGAGGACCAAAGGTGAGCATAATACTAACAAGAAATATTTAGATTTTTAAAAATTAGCATTTATGTTTTGCTTTTTCTGTGATCCATAAAGTTGTGAAATATTTTTTGCCTTAATTAGATTAGAATAGTAGTTTGAATAGGGGGTTTCTTGATTGACTTAAGTGCCCAAGACTATAAAAGCATAACTTATCTGTTAACTCAAGTAAAAGTTGTGTTCTATGAGATAAATGATCAGCTCATTTCACAATTCAGATGTGTACTTTTCTTAAGTACTTATGCAGCAGAATTGCTGTAGATCTGTTCCCATTTCATTTGAATTTGGTATTAAAAAAAGTACTTAGTGTAGATATTAAGGAATTTGATTGGCTGGGCACCTAAGCTACTCTGGAGGCTGAAATCTGAGGAACACAGTTTGAAGCCAGCTCAAGCAGGAAAGTCCAGGAGATTCTTACCTCCAGTTAACCACTAAAAAAGCTGGAAAGTGGAACTTGGCTTAAGTGGTAGAGTCACTAGCCTTGAGCAAAAAAGAACTCAAGGACAGCGCCCAGGCCTGAAGTCAAGCCCCAGAACAGGCAGAAAAAGAAATTTGATAGCTTGATATTCTATAATGAAATGCCATAACACTTGAAAGATCTCTCTGATTAATTGAAATAATATTTTCCAAGTGACTAATATATAATATTGAAAAATCCACTCAAAGTACAAAACATATTAATAGATTTTAACTGAATGATATGAAAAGCTCACTGGAATATGATTTCTATATTTCTGAGCTTTTAAGAAAATGTCATTTAAAATTTTTTCCTTTCCCAATTACTTAGCTGGAGGAAGGCATAGTTTCTTTATATACTTCAACCAAAACTAAAAGTGAAAAGCAGAGGCTAATATGGGAACCCAGCTATTTTCTTGACGTTATTTCTCTCAGTTTTATTGGAAAAATACTATCCTTGGAAGTTGGCTGGCTCAGTGGTAGAGTGCTTGCCTTGCATGCATGAGGCCCTGGGTTCGATTCCTCAGTACCACATAAGCAGGAAAAAAAAGCCAGAAGTGGTGCTGTGGCTCAAGTGGTAGAGCGCTAGCTTTGAGCTGAAAAGCTGAGGGACAGCGCCCAGGCCCAGAGTTCAGGCCCCACACCTGACCAAAAAAAAAAAAGAAATGTGGAAACTTGAATTTAGCAACTCATTTAAAAAAAGTATTTTCTGACTCTAAGGTTTGAGGGGCATTTGAGCTTTCTTGGCTTTAATGCTCTGTGGCTTAGCTTTATTCACAGGTAGTGTGTTACTACCTCCAGTAAGATATTTTGCTGGTTAATTGGAGATGGAGTCTTGTAGATTTTTCTGCCCAGTCTGTCTTCCACCCTCTATCTTCCAGGTCTCAGCCTCCTGAGTAGCTAAAATTATAGGTATTAGCCACTGGTAAATGGCAACAGCTCTTCATTCTAAGATAAATTTCATCTTTCTCTGGTGATGCAATAGATTTGCCTTAGTGAGTTTAAACCATTTGAAGTATACTGCCATAGAGTGTTAAGTAAGAATCTGGCCATGAGAAGATGGGGAAAAAAATAAAAGTTTATGTGAGATGAGGAAATTACTAGGATTATTTTTAGTGGAATGTCAACAAATTCAAGTATAAGAATGTATACCATGATGGGGCTGGGAACGTGGCTCAGGGGGTAGAGTGCTTGCCTTGCATGCATGAGGCCCTGGGTTTGATTCCTCAGCACCACATACAAAGAAAAAGCTGGAAGTGGGTGCTATGGCTCCAGTGGTAGAGTGCTAGCCTTGAGCTGAAGAGCTCAGGACAGTGCCCAGGCCCAGAGTTCAAGCTCTACGACCAGCAAAAAAAAAAAAAAAAAAAGAAAAGAAAAATAAAAAAGAATGTATACCGTGAGACATTAAGTTGGATGAATAATATAAGCAGCTCAAACACCATAAATATCCAGGGATAAAAGAAAGAGAATAAGCTTATTTTAAATCTTTGGTATTATTGGAATGAATGTTTTGCAGTTTGTTTCATTGAGTGTCCTTGTATTTTTGTGACTGTTTATGAAAGGCAGAACATTTGTAGCATAGAAAATCAGCCTAAATATTTTTAAGTTATTGCCCTAAGATAAGAGTAGTGGTTAGCCCTGGTTGTTTATGGGTTTTCTTTTTTTGTTTTTGTTTTTGTCAGTCCTGGGGCTTGAACTCAGGGACTAGATGCTCTCACTGAGCATTTTTCCTCAAGGCTAGCTCTCTGCCACTGTCCCTGAGCTCTTTTGCTCAAGGCTAGTGCTTCTACCACTTTGAGTCACAGCTGCACTTCCGGTTTTTCAGTGGGTTAATTGGAGTTAAGAGTCTCACCAGGACTTTTCAGTGCAAGCTGCCTTCAAACCCAGATCTCAGCCTCTTGAATAGCTAAGATTACAGGCCTGAGCCACCAGTACCTGGCATGACCTCTTTTTAATATAAATCAGAATAACAGAAGTTTCTTCAGTTGTAAGTAAACAGTAAATTCAGTTCTTTGTCTCTTATTTGGTTTATCAACCTTTATCACTTTTTTTTTTGGGGGGGGGTCGGTCCTAGGGTTTGAACTCCAGGCCTGGGCACTGTCCCTGAGCTCTTCAGCTCAACGCTAGTGCTCTACCACTTGAGCCAAGTGCCGCTTTTGTTTCTGAGCTTTTTTGCTTAAGGTTAGCACTCTACTACTTGGGCCCCAGCTCCATTTCTGGCATTTTGGTGATTAATTGAAGATAAGAGTGTCATGGACTTTCTTGCTCAAGCTGGCTTTGAACTGAGATCTTTAGATCTCAGCATCCTGAGTAGCTAGGATGACAGGTGTGAGCTACCAGCACCTGGCTGATCTTGGCCCTTTTGGTCTTTTGGATTGTTTAAATGGTTTCAGAGGCTCTGCTCTTCATTGTAGCATCTTAGCAGTATTACTGACTTCTGCCCACTAGATGCCAGCAGTACCATTCAGTTGAGATCAAGTGTATCTGCAGACATTGCCACATCTTAGGAAAGTGGGAGCAAAATCACTCTCCAACTCTGCTAAATGTGCTTGATATACTTGATACACTATTTGTTGATACCTGGATCATAAATTGATTATCAGTCTACTTTCTACTTCATGTGCTTTTTGGGAAATTAGGTTTCCTAATGTTTTTAGGGGGTCCTGAAATGGAATTATTTATGTTTTATTCAGCAAATTTTTGTGAAAGTAGAATCCTTTATAGAATTTCAAGCCTGACATAATGCCAGGGAATGATAATGTTCACATTTTATAGATTGGAACATAAATTCAGATTGTAGTTGGATCAGGATATTTAGCTAGTAAGTGATAGAAAAATGAACATAGGTCTTTTATCTCCTATGATATTTGCAAAACTTGACTAGTATCAAGGAAGGTTCAATAGTTGTGACTAGATCTTAGATTGGGGAGGTAGTTCATAGAGTCATTTATGTGCTTGGAAAGCAGCAGTGTAGTTTGAGATCAGTAATTTGGATTATGGAGGTGTCTGCAATAAAACATTCATAAATGAGGTCCAACACAAAGATGCTGAAGTTAGACTGCTTGGCTTATATCCTACAACCTATGTTTACTTGGTATACCTCATTTTTTTGTTCCATAGGTTCTTTTTTCTAATAAAAGGAGGTAATAATGTCTGTTCTATACAAATTCTGTAAAAAACTGAGTATGTAAAATACTTAGTACAAAAAACTCAATAAATTTTAGTTATTAAAAATGTCTACTTAGCATATGAATAAAAGTAGGTCTTAATCATGTTGGGATCATAGGATAAGTTCTTCATGTCAGTTTGAGGATCCAAGGAGGAAAAGAATTTTTGTAAGGTTGCTCCATTATCTCCCTTTTGTTTGTGTATGCATGAGTATCTGTATGTGCCTATGCTTGAACTCAGGGCCTGAGTGTAGTCTCACAGCTTTGTTGCTCAAGGCTAGTGTTCTACCATTTGAACCACAGCTCACTTCCAGAATTTTGGTGGTTAATTGGAGATGAGTGTGATGGACTTTCTTGCCCAGGCTGGCTTCCAACATCAGTCCTAACAGTAAGTAGCTAGAATTACAGGTGTGAGCCACTGGCCCTTAGCATAATCATTAGATTTTATTCTCATTACAGAAGTCTCATTGGAAAGATTGGCTCTCCAGTCAGTAGACCAGGCAATAAAAGTTAAGGAAATTTTGGGGGTCTGGGATGCTGCTCAGTGGTAGTGCACATTTAGCAAGCAGGAAGATCTTGTTCAGTCCTATCAGTCCCCGCCAGAATTATAAGTTAAAATATAGTTTAAAACACTAGTTAATATTAGCTTTTGACCTTGAATTGACTTATAAACTAAGTTTTGTTTTAGAAAGCCAAAAAAGAGAAAAGGTTTGGGGATAGCCATATATATAATGCCTTACTCGTAATGTGTTTTATTGGCCATACAAATGCTTATTTTGGTGCTGTGCTGGGCTAGGAGCCCACTTTACATTCATGAACTAGAGGCAGTTCAGGCCCTTAGAAAGTAGTACTTTGTTTGTTTGTTTTTTGTTTATTTGTTTGTTTGTTTTGGTCAGTCATGGGGGCTTGAACTCTGGGTCTGGGCACTGTCCCTCACCTCTTCAGCTCAAGGCTTGCGCTCTACCAGTAGAGCCACAGCACCACTTGTTTTTCTGGTGGTTTATTGGAGATAAGAGTCTCACTAACTTTCCTGCCCCTGCTGGCTTTGAACCACAATCTTCAGATCTCAGCCTCCTGAGTAGCTAGGATTATATAGGCATGAGCCACCGGCACCTGGCAGTACTTGGTTTTTACAAGAAGAAATTAGTAGTTTTTAGTCTGGGACTTTTAGAATCCTAGATTTATTAGCTGGAGATGAGTTTAGAAGTAATCTAGGGTTTACAGAATGGCTCAAAGGGTAGAGTGTACTTATGGGGCAAGTGTGAGACCTTAAATTCAAATGCTAATAATAGCCTGTTGGGCTAATAATAGCCCAACCCCTCCCTCCAACTGTATTCTTGTTTAGCTTTTCTTTTTTCTTTCGACCACTTTAGCCATGCCTCTGGCCTTTTTAGCTTTTTTTTTTTTTTAATAGGGTATCCAGTTTATGCATTAGAAGGCCTGGATTGCAATCCTCCTATTTTATGTTTTCTGTGTAGCTGGGGAGGAGACAAGAATATACCACTATGCCCAGCTTTTTCTGTTGGTTGATAAGGAATCTTGCAAAGTTTTTGCCTAGACTACCCTCAAATTGTAATTCTCCCAGCCTCAGCTTGTAATTGTAGGTATACCTACAATTACAGACCTGAGCTGATATGCCCAGAGAATTCTTCTTCTTTGGGGAGGAAAATGCCTAAGAAAGAAAACATTTTTTGGTCAATGAAAAGTAGCCAAACCAGGATTAACTCGTTTCTGGTTTTTCAACTTCGGGTATAATGCTCTAGTTTTAGAAATAATAAGCATAGCTTTTGTTAATCTTTGTTAATATTGCTAGTGATAGTATTAATTGGAAACACTCTAATAAAAGTATATCTCATGTTAATCCTCAATAACCATGAATAGACATAGTTACTAAACCTAAGTAGATTTTAGAAGTTTCTAAATAACAGGGCTTTTTAAGGAGAAAGCTTCACTGTGAAATTGACTTGTTAGTTTAGTTTTTTGGTAAACTATTAAGAAGGTGCCAGAATTGTTATTAGCTGTAGAAACTAGATACAACATCTGTACTAGGGAAAGGTTAGGAGATTTTTAAAAAAATAATATTTTTATCATCTTTAAGTAGTTGTACAGGTGAATTGCCATTCACCAAAACAGTTTATGAATACAGTGCATCTTGATCAATGTCACTCCTTTCAACATTCTCACCCACCCCTTCCAACCTCTACCCCTTCCCTCACTTATCTTAATTTTAGGTTATGTATTGAATTTGTTTTCATTCCCCCTTTCAGCCTGCCCCTTATCATACATTTCTCAATTCTGTAGCTCATGCAGTTCTTGCCTGCATTCTCCCGCTTGCTACCTTCATTCTTCTCTCCCCTTGACCCCACCTTCCCCTCTTTTAAGTACCCACTTCTTGGTACTTGCTTTTAAACCTCTGAGAGTATGGCAAGTGAAACTTAGATGATCTCAGCCAAACTCAGGTGAGTTTGGCAGTAAGTATCTCAAGAGCAGGCTTTGGAGGAGAAAATAAAGTATATAAAAATGATTAAATTGTTTCATTGCATTCTTAAAAATAGATTGTAACTTTCTTAGGTAATTTATTATAGGGGTAAAACTTTAAATATTAAACCTAGTAGAGAGGAAATATGTTAGGGGGAAAGATAAATTGGTTCTTTTTCTTATTTTTGTATTATAGAACCTACCTTGTGGTAAAATGAGAAAACACAGGTTGAGTATCTCTGAAGCATTTATGACCAGAATTACTTTGGATTTTTTAAGAATTTTGACATAGCCCACCTTTTGTAAATGAAAAATTGTGTACATATATGTATATACAATGAAATTCACTTATGTTTCATATATAAATAGCTTGAAGGTACTTTTTACATAATATCTTATATTTGTACACAAAACCAAGTTTCATGGTATGGAATTTTCCATTTGTAACATCAGGTCAACACTCAAGAGTTGCAGAATTTGGTTTTGAATTACTGAATTATAGATGCTCAGCCTATAGATGTGGCTAAATAGAATATGTTGTAGTCAATCTCTGGCATAAAGGAAAGAGAGAAATTTCAAGATGTATGGAGGGATGGGACAACCTTTTAAGACCAGCATCATTTCAATTTCTTTTTTCTTAATGTATAAATGGAGAGATGGGAAATTAGGCTTTAGTTGTCTTTGTTTCTCATTTTTCTAAAAAAAGAGATGAATTTAAGTTTTATATGCTGGCAGTTAGGGGAACATTTTTATTAAAAATTTACACAAAAATATTTCTATGTTATAAGAGATAATGTTGGAGTTCTTAAAAAACACCTGCTTATGGGAACTTTTTTTGCTAAATAGCATCTATCAAGGAGTTACTAGAGATTATTTGTTGGCCATATAAACAAGGAAATGAGTCTTCAGTAGTCTAAAGTGGTAGAGATAGGATTTGATTCTTCAAGGACTTAGTATCATTTATACTCAGATCACAAACAAGATGTATTTTTTGTGGTTGTATCAGTTTTAAAAATGGAAGGAATTTACAGGTAGCTAATAAATATATTTTGTCTAGAGTTATTTTTTCTTTCAGTGAGAAACCTTTAATGTTCTTTATTTTAGTTATGGGAGAATAAACTAATGCAGTCTAGGGCAGTAGATGGATTTCATTCAGAAGAGCAGCAGCTTTTATTGCAAGTTCAACAGCAGCATCAACCCCAGCAGCAGCAGCAGCATCACCACCACCACCACCATCAGCAAGCTCAACCTCAGCAAACAGTACCTCAGCAAGCACAGACCCAGCAAGTCCTTATTCCTGCATCACAGCAAGGTAAAAAACTGGGTTTGTTTTTCTTCTATGGCTTGAAAATTAAATTTGTGTTTTGAAAGAATAAAGTTCTGGTTTCTTCTTTTAAACGGATAATTTGTAAACTTCTTTTAAGACTATGTTGGCTGAATTTGTGTGTGCTTAATAATAATTCCTCAACTGAAAGCCTAAGACCATATTCAAGGAACTTGTATTATTTTGTTTTGAGAAGGCTTTATAGTAGTGTATTCACTAAAATAAGTCACTTATAGAGATTTGCTTAATAAGGATTTCCTATTTTAGCTGATAAAATAGTTGTCTACTGTCTTTGAGACAGACATGTTCTTTCCATGTCATTCTATTTTTATCTATGTATCTTAAATCTGGAAGAATTTTATAATTTTAGTCAGAGTTCAATCCCTTTTACATTTATCCAATATAAATATAATTGACAAGATTTCTTTTAAGCAAACAGTAGGTATATAACTTAGCTTAATTTATAGTACTTCGTTTTTTGTTTTTGTTTTTTGTCATTTGTAGGGCTTGAACTCTGGACCCTAGGTGCTATCCCTGAGCTCATCAGCTCAAGCTAAGTGCTCTACCACTTGAGCCATAGCACCACTTGTCTCACAGTTGGCTTTGAACCGCGATCCTCAGCTCTCAACCTCTTGAGTAGCTAGGATTATAGGCATGAGTCACCAGCACCCGGGCTATAGTACTTGTTTTTAAAGTAAGAAAAGAACTTTTTTTTTTTTAAATGTCCATAGCACTTTGCAGTGTTAAAGTCACTTTCATTATCATTAGTCCCTTAGAGGGATTTTATGAAATAGTGTTTAGGTCCATTTCACATATAAGGAAATCTGAGCCTTGAAAAGACTCTTGATTCATTATATATGTTACAAAGGTTTTTTTTCCATGACAAGTATCTAGTTACAGAATTTCCTGAGCATTCTAATTGAGTTTTCATTATTACTGGAGAGGAAAGATAAATGAAAGTTCCCTAAGTAATCACTTAGTTGCCCACTTGTCTTACCTGACAGTATACATAGAATAAAATTGATAGTGATACATGACAGGTCTATTTGGTGTAAAGGTCTTGTTTATATGGATAGGACTTTTAATACTCAATACTGTACCTTGTGTCAAATTATTTTGTTCTTTATATCTTCTTTGATGACTGTTCCTCCTATTGTCATTAGTTCTGGCATTAGGATTTTAGGTCATCATAAATTAAAGTTTGATTTTCTTCACTCAGAGAATATTAAGGTGATGGGATTACCTGTGTATTCTCTGAAATTTGCGGAGTCAAACAATTATTTTCATACTGTATTTTTTAAACAATTGAGAGTAACATAATCTTGGTAATTGTCAAGCTAGAGAAAAAGACAGTGTAGATTAATAGTTTTAAGTTTGAATTTACTCTTAATGGATTAGTAACTTTTTCCAAAATAGTAGTATGAAGAAAGCAGTTAATTTCTGGGTTAGCCAAGTAAGGCAAAGCTAAATTTCATTTGAAGATTTCCAGCTTATCTAGGAATGAACAGAAATGTATATACTTAACTATTAGATACCATTTTCTGTTCCCACAATTCCCTGTATCCTTAGGTATTTCCATATATATAATATATATGCATTATATACCTATATCTATGTCTATATATCTAATCAGTCATGGGGCTTGAACTCAGGGCCTGGGTGCTGTCCCCAGCTTCTCTTTTTTTTTTTTGTCAGTTGTGGGGCTTGAACTCTGGGCCTGGGCGCTGTCCTTCAGCTCTTCTGCTCAAAGCAAGCACTCTATGGCTTGAGCCACAGAGCCACTTCGGTTTTCTGAGTGGTTTATTGGAGATAAGAATGTTACAAAGTTTGCTGTCTAGGCTGGCTTTGAAACATGATCCTCAGATCTCAGCCCCCTGAGTAGGTAGGATTACAGGTATGAGCCATAAGCACCTGTTTTACTAGTTTTCCAATGTCGGGTATAGTAGGTCTATTATACTATTTTCTTTTTTTTTTTTTTTGTTGGTTGTGGGGGCTTGGGCACTGTCCTTAAGCTCTTCAGCTCAAGGTTAGCACTCTACCACTTGAGCCATCATGCCACTTCTGGTTTTCTGAGTGGTTAATTGGAGGTAAGTGTTTCACAGACTTTCCTGCCCAGGCTGGCTTTGAACCTTGATCCTCAGATCTCAGCTTCCTGAGTAGCTAGGATTATAGGCATGAGCCACCAGTGCCCGGCTTTTTATACTGTTTTCAACGCAAATTTAAAAACTTCTTAAAAAAGTATTATTAAAAAGTATTTAAATGCCTAAAATACGAAAAAAGCATTCTGCATTGTATTACACCCTTGTGACTATGAAATAGCTTCATGATGCTTGTTTATATATGTACTTGTTTTTTTTTCCTTACAGCCACAGCACCACAAGTTATTGTTCCTGATTCTAAACTGATACAGCATATGAATGCATCAAGCATGGTAATAATTAAAATTGCAACATTAGGTCAACTTTAATTCATATAAAAATAGTGGCCATGCCTAAGTATGTAATATTTCAGCATCTTGAAAATTATTGAAGCTCTGAGCAAAACAGCTGCTTTGAGATATTTTTTGCTTGTTTTTAAGTTTGCTGAAATTGTATTTAGCAGAAATCTAAAATTTGCTTATTTTTAAGATAGGATCTCACTTTTGCCAGGGCTGGCCTGGAGTTTGAGTCTTTTAGTTATATAGTTCCTGCCATAGCTGGGATGACAGATACGGACCACCATACTTAGTGTTTTTCTATTATTGTGAGGTCTTCCTAGGAATCCAAGTATCTGGTATTACAGGCATGAGCTGCTGGCACTCAGCCCAAAATCTGAAACTTTTTGAGATTACAAGTGGAAAATTGTATAGTGGCGCACTTGGCTGTAATTCCAATTCCAAAGATAGAAGCACGAGTATTGTGAATTTGAGACCATCATGGTCTACGTAGTGACTCCCTTTCTTAACAAAATACTTAAAGTACAAGCATAAGTTAATTTTGTTTTTTTTAGACCTGGTTCCATCCCCTAGGTAATCTTATGGATATGCAGGTACTTCCAAATCTGAAAAGTATCTGAACTCTCTTCTTGCTCCCAGCATTTTGGGTAAGGGAATATGTCCCCTTTTTGATAATATGACCGCTAAAGATTTAACAGTACACCCTAAGGAAAATCTTTCGATACAAGTGTTTTATGTAGACAACTATTGGTTCTGATAGGAATTTAAAAAGCTAAGAAATGAATATATTTGTAATTTGGCCTAATGTATTTTAATTGAATACAGGCAGTTGGGTATAAGGAAGTAAAGACTTGGAGAGGAAAAAATAAGGAATGACTTTAATTTTGTTAACTTTTTTTTTTGTTGTTGGTCATGGGGCTTGAACTTTGGGCTTGGGCGCTGTCCTTGCACTCTTCAGCTCAAGACTAGTGCTCTATTGCTTGAGTCACAGCACCACTTCCATTTTTCTGGTGGTTAATTGGAGATAAGAGTCTCAAGGAGGGGCTGGGAAGGTGTCTTAGTGGTAGAGTGCTTGCCTTGCATGCCTGAGGCTCTGGGTTCGATTCCTCAGCACCACATAAACAAAAAGAGAAAAGCTGAATGGCGTTATGGCTCAAGTGGTAGAGCACTAGCCTTGAGCTGAAGAGCTGAGGGACAGCGTCTAGGCCCAGAGTTCAGGCCCCATGACTGGACCTCCCCCAAAAAAAGAGTCTCAAGGACTTTCCTGCCCGAGCTGGCTTTGAACCATGATCCTCAGATCTCAGCCTCCTGAGTGGCTAGGATCACAGGCATGAGCCACCAGCGCCCGGCTTGCATACAACATTTTTTTTTTTTTTTTTTTGGGTCCGGTTGTGGGGCCTAAACTTTGGGCCTGGGCGCTGTCCCTCAGCTCTTCAGCTCAAGGCTAGCGCTCTACCACTTGAGCCACAGCGCCACTTC